CATTTAAACACCAAATATGTCAAGGTATTACAGCCCCTGGACATGGTAGTACTAAGGGATTAATCAGTGTGTGTGACACGACCTATGTATGCTTGATTGGTCAACTAATTGGACTTTATAATCTTGAGCGATCAACAGCAGGGGTGCGAATCAATGTGCAAGAAAGATCATATCGAAAAGGGACACTCAAATTATTTTTATTTTAATAGTAATTTATGAAATTGGTAGCCGAAAAATAGGTTATGTTTTATCTATTCAATATAATAACAAAAATTATCAGATTTAACAGATTAACATATTTTAAAAGAAAATTGCTTAGTACTTCTAAAAAATAGGTTTATAAATTTTAAGATAAAATTGTTTCTCACTCTTGATAATTTAACGAGCAGAATACTTGTTTTATATTCGCAGTTTTTATTTTTATACAAATCCCAATTATTTGATGCAAACATAAGTCAATTTAAAGGCTCAGCTCTTTTCAATTTTATTCACTTTTTTAAGTTTCTGTACAAATGTTGTTATATATTTCTTATTTATATTAACCTATTTTTAAATGAACAAAAATAGGAAACAAACATTTCTTTTTTATTTAAATCATAATACATTTAGATGAATAGATAAAATAAAAATAATTGTCAGAATCTTTTATTTACATTAATACAAATAATGTGTATGATTGCATGTAATATGGCCGTCAGGTGTTAAGTTTAACAGTTAACTGTTAATTCACTTAACCTTGGTGTCAAAGCATATGAGCCGCGTCACGACAAAACCAACATAATTGGGTTTGTGACAAGCATTGATCCAGACCAGCATGCGCATCCGCGCAGTCTGATCAGGATCCACGCTGTTCGCTATCGGTTTCTCTACTTGTTATAGAGTTTGTAAGCGAACAGCATGGATCCTGATCAGACTACGCGGATGCGCAGGCTGATCTGGATCCATGCTGGTCGCAAACCCATTATGTTGGTTTTGTCGTGACGCGGCTCATATGTTTATTTTTACATTGATACGAAGCTTAGATCAGGAGCCTGTTGTCGGTGTAAGAATTTTAAACGGCTTTGTTTGTATTGTTTTAGCATTAATAGTAATTAGCAAGATCGAGTTTACTCGCAGTTCAGGACAGACAACTCTTGGTTTTCATTCGATATTTTTGGTTATTTATCTACGTTATTCAGGATTACCCAGATTTTAAATTGTATATACATGAACTGAGTTTTCGACATTTACAATGTATTTTTTATTGGACAAATTAAAATTTAAATATTTTTTTCTTATTATAATTTTAACTCTTTGTTTAGTTTTTAAGATAAACATTACGCATAAGGTGATATCGCATGGGTCAGTCACAAACACGCGCCTGTTTGAGGAAATAGTTATTTAATATTTCATTATACATGAATTTAAACGCTTGAAAAACTATATTGAGCCTTTGTACATCACACATTTTTCGACATTCCATATTTTGACTTATATTTCACATAAAGCAATATGGTAACACTCGCACGCACGCACGAACACACAAAATACATAACTACACATGCACATAAAAGTGAACACGTTCCTACAGTATTAACAATTTCGCACATGTGATCACTTATGAAATATTTTCAATGTTCTCTTTATCATTTTTATGCTGAAGTTATATTATGATTTTTCAGGACAGTTAAATCTTCTAGAAATGCAGCTGTGCCATCTTTACAGCAATTGTAGATGAAGCAAAGTATGGTAGCAAGTTATATAGATGTAAGTTCACGTATATATATTGTTGTGTTTTGTGAATGAAATAAGACAATTACACTGTAAAGAAGAGTTACCCAGACTCATATCTATTCCACTCTGTACTGACATCATGTGCTTTATTCTTTCTCAAGGCAAAGTCAAATTTCCTTAATTACACGCATTTATTTTGACAAGAATAAATGTGGTTAGTTATACATACACTGGTTCTCTTTTATATCTTGTTAGAATCAATTCTTTGGCGGAATGATGTCACACTTCATAAAATGATGTCAATTAAGGCATATATGATATAAGCATTTTGCCGCGCATTTGAAAATGCTAAACCATACTTGCTTGTAATATGCAAAAATCAAAATATATAAAATATAAGAATTAACTCGAACACACAAAAAAATGGTTTGATATAGATGCAATGTGCATGCGACTTTATTTTATTAAATTAGTTTTCTTTTCTTAAACATATTACTGAATCAAAAAATATGTATTTCTTTAGAGTTTTATCACTTTTATATATGTTAATGATAGTAATTTGTTTAGTTACTACGTGCGTAAAGCGATAAGTACGCCGCTTTGATAATGTGAGAGTGACGTTACATTTTCTTTTGTACATGTACACTAAAGTTAACAACATTTGTCTGAATAGGTAAAACAGGGTTTTCAAAGCGAATATAATGTCAGATAAGAAACAGAATTTGAAATGTCTTGATGTAAAAGTTAGAATGTCATACACATTAAATTTTATCACAAGTTCGAGCCTCACAAGTTGTCTTACTTTTTTGCGTTTTTCTTTCCATATATTTTTTTTTTAATTTTACATTAGAAAAATGAATTGGGATAGAAAGGCAGTTTTGTTATGATATTTAATAATTTAGATATACATGCACGGATGATAGTGATTTTTATCCTGTATAGTGTGTAGTATGTAGTAGTCATAGTACTTTTGCAGTGCAATAGTATTTCGTGCAAACTTAACTATAGTTGAAACAGTCTGTGTACAGTATAATGCATTCCGTATAAGTTTGCACCAACTTGCTAAATAGGGCTAAATATAGCTACATTTAAAACAAAATGAGAAGTTAATAGAAAATATCACAGCATTTATAATCTTTACAATAAATGATACATAACTTTCCTACCTGATTGATAATTATAAAGCAATATTTTTGGGAAAAAGGTGCAATCCGAGCCTAGCTGTCTTGCATTGATATTTACCACAACCTTACCTACTGCATTACGCTGAGAGTTGGTAAATTTGTTGATAATTTAATTTATATAGCTAGCCTGTTTGAAGATAATAAACACAATATGATAGCTGTTTTACACCTGGATAGTGGACTTGACCACCTCGTCACTTAATTATCATACTAAACGCACAGTACTTGTGCGCACGTGAAACATATTGCGTTGATACGTAAATGTTTCATGTGCGCACGTAATAGTCGCATTCGCATGTATTAACAAAAATATTTCCTATGTTATTTTATGCAATTGTCACATATGATACGTATATTTTATTATCTGAATTTGATTTCATACTATCAGATTAATGCTATAGGCAAGGGAGGATATTTTGATTTATATTTCGTGAGAATTATCACTTTATTTTTAGAGATGACACACTGTAAGAGATTCTATTGTCAACTTACCTAGTTAAACAGTCTTGACAATAAAAAAATAATAATCTACACTATTGTATATTGAAGGTATTCATTCGTTGCTGAGATAGTTTTTGAAACAATTGAAATTGAAACAAATAATAATCCAAATTTGTTAAGATTAACGTTTTAATATAATTGAGAAGTATAGCTGGGTATTCCGCTTTTTACTTAACTGGATATCATTGTGCAAACACGGATCTACATCTGAGTAAAAATATCTGTACTTTTTAAGCCTTTTTTCAAACGAATTTACTCCTACTAACGATGCTAATATACATCGTAAAACGATCAAAAAGATTATGTCAGCACTTTTTCCAAATACAATGTTATTTTGTATTAATATATTTTTAATCAATAAAACACTCTTTACATAGAACAAAGATACCATTATCAATTATATTGCAGGTTTGAAATAAATATATTCGTAAAGGTTTTATAACAAAAACATATAACTTATCATCCGTCATAGATTAATCATTTCATTTAATTCCTGTGTAAATGATTGCTTATAAATGACATCTTTATCCTAATAATATAAAATAATTTTGAAATTTGCGTTAGAAAAAAATGTATAAATGTATACGTTTAAAAAATTCTTGTGTATAGCCTTTTTGAAAGTTGTGATAACTATTTCCTGACACTATTTAAACATGATTTTAAACTCTCTTTTTCAGATACACACATGCCAAAGAAGATTGTAATATCTGGAGATAACATTTCCTACGTCACGAAATAGACACCGTCACACTGGTCTACGTAACATTCCTATAGATGATTGATATATTTAAGTGCTTTTAAGAACTGTGTTTGAATGACGAATTTCTGTGAATACGGATTTTTAATTTTAATGATTATTATTTAAACTTTCTGTAATAATCAATTTGTGCTATGGACTCACTTTCCTAAAATAATATGTAAATGTTAACACGAACAAATGATATGAATATCTTCAAAATATTTTATGAGTGTAATACAAGTGGCTCATAAAAATCATTGTTAAGATAAATAGAATCGAACTTCAAGTTGGTATAGTTTGTTCTAGATTTAAACAACATGCAATTCATACGCCTTGAAAATGTCGAAACATGTATGAAAATATCGAAACATGTACATGTATAACTCAATCTCTAAAGAAAATATCGCAGTGCGGATTTTTCTCCACTGTGATACGTATTTCATGACTCTGTATCGCATCATACCGGTATATAGCCGTTCCGTTGCAACGCTACATGAATTTGTGCCTCCGGAATAAGGCTTGCAACAATATATGACTGTTGTAGCGAAGACATGTTTATTTTGTTTAATATATGTATACATATTGAATATATGTTTATGAAATAAAAATATTTAAGAGTGACTCGATTTGGTTTTTACTTTATTATTTGAAATACTCCATTTGTGAAGATAAAGTTCTTAAGCATATGACTTTACGGTTCCCATTCAAAATGTGTAATAAAACATGTTCTGTTGTACAAGTCTGCATTTCGGTCCTGTATACGTGTCACTTATATGTAAATGCATGCTTTTGATATTATCTGTATCTTCTTTTATCAAGAAAATACAGTTCCAACTTCTGTATTCCCTGTGGACAACTAAAAAATGCAATTCCGTATATCCCCTGTATATATTGAAAATACGATTCCGTATATCCCCTGTATATGTAGAAAATACGATTCCGTATTTCTTCTGTATATGTAGAAAAATACGATTCCGTATATCACCTGTATATGTGGAAAATACGAGTCCGTATATCCTCTGTATATGTAGAATATACGGTTCCGTATATCCTCTGTATACGTAGAAAATATGAGTCCGTATATCCTCTGTATATGTAAAAAATACAGCCCCGTATATCCTTGGTATATTTATAGTATACTAGGGATAACAACCTTAATATAGTCCGTATACGGGATTTTATTCTCCGTATACTTAAAGAGTACGAACAAATATACGTACATGTATATGGGGCAAATACGGAATTCCGTATATGCCTGATGCATATACGGACTTCCCGTATACCCGGTGTTCCCTATACGGACTCGTATACTTGGTCCGTATATTCGACGAATACATCCCGTACACGCCCGTATATGTTGAAAATACGGGACCGTATATTCCCGTATATCAGTATATTTTTCGCAGTGCTAGGGCTGTTTGAACTTGTTTTACTTCTTTACGATAAAATATTCAACTGGCCTAAACATTTGGAGAAACGCGTGATTTATGTTGTTTCCCTTCTATAATGTTGTTTAATATCCTCAGAATATATAAAGAGAACATGTATTTCTTAGAACCAAAGCTACGAAAGAGATTAAAAGAAAAAAAATAGGCTTTCATTACGAAACAAACAAGGGAACATTGTTAAATCTCCTCTCATTTAACATTATTATATTGTATTTCAGAGTTCGATATTACCTACACTCAACTGAACGAGTCTGAAGAACTAGCGACGGGTTCACTGGAAACAGAAGTTGTCAGTTTTAGTCAATTTATCTTGACACTCTTTGTTAAGTGTACTCAATGTGACAGTTTGATAACCTTAGCCGGTAGCGATAGTACAGACCTTTCTATCAGCCACTCCGACAAGATTGTTGTTGGTTATGATGGGTATTTTTTTTATTTATTTCATATCTGCCTAGCATAAACAAAAAAGGGAAAATCGTTAACGATGTTTTTTAACGTTTTAATTGACACTTATCTGAATTCAAAATACAGTTGATTTGGTATAAAACTTGCGTTATGTACAGTAAAAAGATTCAAACAATGCACAATCACATGGTTTTCAAAGCATTGTGCTTCACATACTAGTACTTGGAGAAAGTTGTAACAAAATTATTTTATATAAAGTAACGGAATAAAGTGTTCGCTAGCAAAGTGAAGCTGCTGTCTCAGTACGATAAGTAAATAATTTTACTAATTTGCCACCAATTTATTTTAAGCAAAGACCTCCACAGATGTCAAGAAGCCAAAAGAACAATAACACAAAAAATGATTGTTTTTATTGCAATGGGAAAAATGCAAAGAATCAAAACGAAATGTACTCAAATTGAATTAAGATTGATAGTTAATACATTTTGTCTTACTGGAGTGATAATCGTTGCAACGCTTTTCATTTTGGGATCAATTTGTACAATTAAAATGATTATTCTGGACAACCTGTGCGAGAGAATGTTTTGAAAATTTGCGCACAAGTTATTTGTTCAGACCTTTCAAATGGTTTACAAATCGCGCAAAAATTATAAAAGATTTAAAGAAATTGAAAAGAACAAATTTCTGGAGCAAAATGGTACTTAAACGTTTCGTTAAATATTTCATTACCCTTTAATAGGACTTTAAATATACTTTCGTATTCTTGAAATAAAGGCAGCAGTACACGACTGGAGAGAGTATAGTCGGGTCAATGATGTGGAAGCAGATTACAGTCAAGTATTCTGGCACTGAGATAATTACATACCTGGACAGTACAGAAGTTCTCAGAGAGCAAGTGTCTCCTCAAAGAAGAAAAAGGTCCACAGAAACACCTGTGAATATCACTGTGACAATAGGAGGTAAGGATAGTGCACAAACAAGTATGTGCACATGTGTGAAAATAGATAGAGGATACTGAGGTTTCTTCTATAAATACAGGATTTATTTTCATCGTGTGGTATGAAAATAAATAGTTCTAGAGTGGCAGTAGCCACAAGATGAAAATAAATCCTGTATTAATAGAAAACAACTTCAATATTCTGTTTATTATTTACGTTTGTTTTCCCTTTTTAACCTTATGAATAGGAAGAATACCCTTTTAATTTTATGTATTGACTGAATTTTGAAGAAAGTAGTTCGACAAGGCACAAGCGAAAATACTGCAGTGAAAAATAAATTTTTACAGTGAAAATAATGAAAATGAAAATAGGGATTTTATTTCATCAATTATATTTCTCAATATTTCATTTATAGGTATATAAAAAAAATGTTTTCCTTCACCATGCCAGATACCGTATATCGGTTTTTATTCGTGGGTATCTAATTTTCGCTGTATTCGAGTGCAATGAATATCGCGAAAAATAGATTCGCTAAATTTTCCTGCAATGTAATACGGGAATTTCGAGAGTTATTTCAACTTTTGATTTTTACTTGAGATTTGTATAACCCCGTTTAGTCGTATCTTAAATTGACTTGCCAATCTTTCAATCTGGACAATATCATTCATCACTTTTAGGAAAATTTCAAAATGTTTAATGAAAATATGTATTGAAAATATATATAAAACAATCAGACGGCAAGAGTGTGCACGTGCTGGCTTATCTTGGTTTGAACTAGTCGTACGGATACTAGTAGATTCTATAGCTGTGAGCAGGTAAAAGGGTTATCGGCTGTTAATTTTAAGCTGCTTTCGTAAAACTGAAACATTGTTCAATTTGATTTCACGTAAAAACTACAAATTTCTTCAACGAAATTTATGGAAGCGTAGGTTTGTTTTATGTCAAGACATGTTTTAACTTTATAAATTTATATATATTTTTTCCAGGTGAAGGGTTTATCGGTTCATTCTCACAGTTAAACGTGTGGTCAGGTGTCACATCATTTACACCAGTTGTTACAGATACCTGTTTTAACACAGGTCAGGGTGATTTGATAAGTTGGAAACAATTCTCTGATACTGAAGGATCGTTTATCATAACAAAAAGCAAATGTGATGGTAATCTACCTACAATCGATTTTCATATCTTTTTTGTTTATGTTATCATAGCATATCCAAGCGGAATGAGATAAACAGTAAAACCTATGTAAATCGGACAATATGCAAAACCGGTATTCTTTAAAAATCGGACAATGTTTTTGAAGTCCAATATTTTCCTTTATATATTCATTGAAAAAAAACACCCTCTAAGAACCGGAACCACTACGGCTGTATATATGCTTAGCATGTATTAAGTATCCTCTGAAAACCGGATTATTGGACTAAAGCGAACAGGGTCTGTTTTTCAGATTTTCTTCTGTATTACTTTTTTCGTGGAGCCAATAGTTAAATAAATCGGTCTATGAACTGAGTCAAATTCTTTAAAATTAGAATTTTTGTTATTATTATTTCTTCTCAGTTTGAAAACCATTTTGACATTTTTTGTACCTAACGTCACATTTCTACAGGTGTTATGTTAAAAGTTCATAGGTATGTTACGGTTTTTATTCCCTTCTTTTTTAAAACAAAACCCCAATAACATATTAAGCTTCGAACATATCATCAATGATTTAGCTCTCTCTTTTCTTCTTTTAGTCGACAACAACTGTGATGATACACCATGCCATAACGGAGGCACGTGCAGAGATTCAGTTGGAAGCTTTTCATGCGCATGCGCAAGAGGTTTTTTACCGGAAGTTTCTGTGAGATCAATATCGATGACTGTCTTGACAACGCGTGTGATAACAACGCTACATGCATCGATGGACCTGATAAATATAGTTGTGTTTGTTCGGCTGGCTTTAAGGGTGACTTATGTGAAACCACTTTTGGTTAGTATTCTGCTTTCACTTGTATTTGTAATGAGTTTTAGAAAAAAATACGACCTCGTATATATATTTGCTTTACTTAGATATAACATGTGAGCATGTTAGTTGTATGAAAAGTAACATTCTTTTGAATAGTTTGTTTACCGATCTATCAAAGCTTGCACTTGTTCAATTGTTATGCATAGATAAGTGGTTGTTAGTCAACATTAATAAAATAAATCCAGAAACCAGTGTTAAAGACCACTTCCAAATAAATGCCACCCTGTAAATAAAGGTCATTCTTCGACAACCCACCATTGATTATATAGAATAGATTAATCTCTAAATAAGACCACTTGTCTAAAAAGACATTGTTCGGCCTCTCTTTTCTTTGGCTTCTTTCAAGGTTTGACTTCTCTGGGGCGGTGGGTCCGCTCAGACATGAAATAAATGCTGACTTAACAAACACCAATCTATTTAGAGGTTTAAATTTATTTTTACTCTTCATATAGTGCGAGTATGGTACGCTGATTTATTTGGTCAAGTTGGTGCCGATTGAAAAGATGACATATTACATAGAATTTAAAAAATGGAACGATCTCATTGGAAAAAAAATTTCAACCACTAAACTTGATTCTAGCCACATACACTGAAGTAAGATATACTCATACGTGTCATAACGAATATTCAAAAGACATGGTCCTGTTGACTGAAATATAGCAGACGACACGTGTTTGTCAGTCTTTTACATTTTTATGCTTTAGTAACTGTTTTCAGTTGATGGTGGTTGGACAGATTATGAGATAAGTGGTGAATGTTCCGTCACATGTGGATCTGGAACGCAGCAGATGTCACGTGTCTGTGAAAACCCCATCCCAATAAATGGCGGGAAACAGTGTGAAGGCGATAGTACAAAAACAGTCCCCTGCGAAACCAACGTTGTTTGCGTTAATGGTAATACTGAGACAATTTGAATTGTTTCATTCGGTGTTTGTTTCCTTTCTTCTCGTTTATTCGTTTGTCTGTCTGTGTGATTGATATACCAGTTATTTGGATATGAAATAATTTATCTTTCTGAATATATTAATTTTTGTCTTTTTCTGCCATTTTAGAAAGCAATGAATTTAGGTTTTGTTTATCTTATACAATCCAAATAGGATACAATGAATTAGACACCGACCTTTTATTTAAAAGTATATATCTAGGGTCATATAAAGAAGGCAAACATGAGTTATCTCGGCCTCACTACCAGTACCGACTTCACCACATCAATCTGTGGTAGTAGAAATTCTGTCAATGAAATTTACACCGCAAATACGTGTCTTAACAAGGGTCAAGAGCTCAACCTTTGAAACGTAACAATTTCTCCACGGAATTTATCAGGTGGACAAAATTATAGCAAAGATTGATATACCAGTTATTTGGATATGAAATAATTTATCTTTCTGAATAATTATATTAATTTTTGTCTTTTTCTGCCATTTTAGAAAGCAATGATTTTAGGTTTTGTTTATCTTATACAAGTATACAAAACGTTAAAGAAATAATCACCCATAAACATTTATATTTTAAGAATGTGGAAAGGACCCGACGACACTAGATAATGGAAACATGAATTGTGTATCAAAAAATGCCGAAAAACGTTTTTTTGCACGCCCAGGGGAAACGAGGGAATTTTTTAAGCGACCCTTTTAATCCCGGTTGCCGGGGGCCAACACGAAAGGGAAAAAAATTTGGGGAAAAAACCCGAAAAAACCCCCAATAGCCCTTTTTTTTTTTTTTCGAGAAACTTTTTTTTTTTAAAAAAAGGCAATTCCAAAATGGATTGGTCTACAATGGGCACATTTTCAGATATTGAGAAAAATCATTAGAAATATATCGTTAAGATATTATTATGAAATATTACTAGAAAAAAATAGTGATAAAGCTCAAAGTGATTTAGTATGAAGGATAATTTTTTGTTAAATGACTCAAAACTATGTGTAATATCGGATCATGTATACTACACAATGACCACTAACGTCTATATATAATTCTTTCGTGGCTCATACCATAACTATTTACTGTATAAAAGACATTCCATTATAGACCAATTCACTTCAAGTTCAAAACTTAGAAAACTTGGACAGTTAATTGTAAACTGTTGCCTTAGTTCCAAAACATTGTGTGCATCTATTAAATTTATAGAAATTTAATATAAATAAATATATAAAGAAATAAATAAAAAAAAACAAATAAATAAATAAATGAATAATGTGTATGCCCAGACATTAATTGAAAATATTTTAACTATGCTTTGAGGAGCTGACCGGAAGTCCAAAACCTAAAAACATAGGTCTAGAAATTGCAAATCTTGCATAACTTAAGATAAACAGATAAAACTTTACTCAGAAACCAATTGAAATGCCATCTAAAGTGCGAATTTTAGCCCATATTGAGTTAATTGCTTTCCATTTCTAGGTCATTTTGCAAAATAAAATATGTTAATCCCTGAAAACAATGAAGCGCGTGAATGATCTGTTAGTTGGCCCACAAGGTTATATTGGTATTATAGAATTTCATCAATTTGTTTTTAACAAATCTCGAAAAACACATTCCCTTCATGCCAATGAGCGTCAGGGGAGTCCCTTTATTGTGTGGTCAGTTTGAGTTATTTTTTATTCAATCAAGACGAAGACTTTAATTATTCCATTCTTCCATTCTTCATACAATGTAATTTGTCCGATTAAAACAAAAAGGAAACGAACCAATTGATAAGGTTACAACAGCGGTAAGTCCAAACAACGACATGCCCCCAGACACCTGTAAGTTTTGTGTAGTGCATTTAGGGTTATATTATATGTAATATTTGCTTTTGGAGATCCATTATCAAAACAAAAAGGAGCAATATACATATTTTTATATTTGTAGCAAAGCACCTGGCTCCAAAACTGTCGGTAAATCAAACGGGTGTGTACAATACGTTGAGTACTGAATTATCTGATGTTGAGAACACCATCAAGTCAACTGTAGGCGACAAACTGAAAACTGCTGGTTGTGTTGCCAACGGAACATGCGAATTAAAGGGCGTTCACATCTCGTCTTCAGATGACCAACCAGAAGAGAGGAAACGAAGGGAGACAAGCTTTGTTTCATTTACCATAGAACTTACATGTGATAATACTATAGGTGATTTTTTGTTTGTTCGATATTTGATTTATTTATTTTTTAAATTTGTTATTGGCTTTTATTGGTGAAACAAGAAAATATATTATTACATGTATTGCAAAGCTTAAATACGTATGAAAGCATTAAACAAGTTTGTTTGATTTCATTAATGTGGTCCATACCTGAAAAACATTACATTTCAGAAATACAGGAAGATATGAAATAAATTTGGAATTAAGACACAGTTCAAAATAGGATATATACTTTAAGACAATATTCCTGCAGATTTCTCAATTTTTACAAACTGAAAAACGTTTTGACTTGTACGAGTAAATACAAATGCTTTATCAAAGCAGACAGTATTTTACAAATGTTCATGTGTTTTTCAATGTCAATACAAATTGTGGTTACAAACGTGTATAGAAATGAATATCACTGCCTGTAATTGAGAAATTCCTACTTGGAAAGCAACTGTATTTATGTCATGTTTCCTGCCATCTTGTGTTAGAACTTCATTATTTTCCTGTTTACCAAAGAATCTGAAAACTGATTTTATTGTTTGTTGTCAATGCTTAGTTGTCACAAAGGTCTACCAGTCTTTTTGATTATATTACTGTATACATTGCAACATAATGTAGTAATGATACCGAGGTATCATTAACATGTTCCATTTAACATGTTTATCATTGTTCCATTTAACATGTTCTATAAAATATGATATCTCCTATACGAGATTTAAAAAAACCTAATAAGGAGTTTGTATCACCTACACAGGACGTAGGAATTTTAAACTCCAAATTAGGCTTATTATCTCCTACGTAGGAGACAACATGTTAAATTGGCACAAGGACACTTCCGTATAATGACGTAATAATGACGAAATAATTTTGTTTTCTTTCAGAGAAAGACAATTGCTATGACTTACTGGCTGAGATAGTGACTATATTCAACACCTTAGTAGAAAATCTAGCGTTCACTATACAATATGGTGGCGTTGACTACGACGTTGGTGTTAACAGTACGTACCTGGACGGTTTGGCGGAGTGCGAGCCAGGATATGCATCCGTCTGGCAGTATTGTGGTAAGACCAAATTTTAAAAAAAAACGATCTGACGAAAAGGCCATATTTTAAAATTATCCGCGACGCATGCCTTCCAGTTTTAGTAGGGTAGGTAGGTATGTGAATTGTTCGACCTACTTTTTTGTATTGAACCAAATTGTACTTGGATCTATATCTGGATAAAATATATATCTTTCCTTTTAAGAATATGAATGCTTAAAAGCATTTATTTATTTAATGTTTAGAACCAGAGTTTAAAAGTTGTATTCAATATAAGTCTGCAATATTTAAAATAAAAAAACATGAGACAGATATAAAGACGTGAATAATAATGACAGATTGACTTTACTTGCACGATAATTAAATAAAAAAATGTGTTTTGTTTGGCAATAAAAAAAGGTAGCAGTGATTTTTATGGGAGGTATCGGCGGGGGGATGAGTGGAAACAAACTATTTTATTTTCGGCCTAGGTCCTCCTTAAAATTAAGCGCTAACTACGGTATTCACATTTAGAAATGAATACATTGAATAGATGAACGATTAGAGTGCATTTTTTCACAAATTTAATTCTTGGGGTCCTATTCCAGACGAGAATAGAATAATATTATTTCCATTTAGACTTAGACATAGTGATTAAATCAGACATTAACAGATGACGAAAACAACATAATAAATATGTATATAGAGATCTTTTACACAATAATTTTGAGAGATTCAATTCCAGTAGAGAAACAACCTGTATGTAGCAATACCCTTTGCAAACATTGTGCTTGTTCCTTCAGAGAGTTGCTCTGTATGGGTTACAAAGTACAACCAAATGGTAAAGAACTTTTCATTATTACAGAATAAAGGTTTTTAACTGAAACATTATTTTTTTACCTCTAGTATCGTGTGGTAAGGGAACATATGCCACTAACGACTACTGTGAGAGCTGCCCTCGAGGCTACTACCAGGACGAGGAAGCACAGCCATCGTGCAAGAAATGTCCTGATGGCTGGACCACTGCCGGACTTATGTCTAGAGACAGCATTCATTGCAATGGTAAGTTCAATCTATGAAATTGCCAAAACTGTCTTTCTTATAGCTTGTATATACATGCAGTATAATGTTTCATAAAGTAAACTTATGATTGAAAAGTGACAGGGGGCTCAAAGATTTTTATCCTATTTATGCTATGTAACAAACAAGATTGGATAATGATATAATAATTATATCGATAATGACAAAAATAAAGATGATAATACAGCTGCCACTTGTCCTAGAAGACAGTAGCCTAGTTTCCTCCAAAGCCGCGCAAGCCGCGGTCAACACTTTTTTTTCTAAGAAAGTAAAAATAAATTTATGTCTATATTAATTTCTAACAATCACCTGAACATGTTTATTGCATTTAACATACCCCAAAATAAAAAAGTCATGGATGTGTGCCATCATCCACCCCCTAGATGTTGGCCTATCAGTCAAGACTAAGCTACGCCCCCTGTCTGTGGTTTTTAGTCCGGCATATCTAAAATAACTCTTTTTATAGATTATTGAATGACACGATCATATAAAAAACTCCATTAAGACTATTAATTATCGGACAGCTGGTCAAGATGCATTAACTGCTATTTCAGTTTTCGTATATTGTTTAAAAAATTCCAAATTAAAAAAAAAATTTTTATGTGGGTTTTCCCTGTATTATTTAAGAACATCAAAAGAAAATTTTTTGTGTTTCATCAAAGGGGTCTTTTATGAAAGTACACATGAAAAAATTTTTGAGTAAAATCATAATTAATTTTTTTTTTAACCAAAAAATATCCTTTTTAATGAACACCATTAACCATTTATGATGTATATCATAAACAGTTTTGATGTACACCATGGATCTTTATGATGTACACCAAAAACTATTTATGATGTGTATCATAAATATTTTTGATGATCACCACGGATCCTTTATGATGTACACCATGGATCTTTTATCATGTACACCATGGATCTTTTATAATGTACACCATGGGTATTTTATGATATACACCATGGATCCTTTATTAAGTACACCATTGATCTTTTATAATGTACACCATGGATCTTTTATAATGTACACCATGGGTATTTTATCATGTACACCATGAATCTTTTATGATGTACACCATGGGTCCTTTATGATGTATTTCATGAACATTTTATGTACATAGCGGATATTTTATTATCTACATCATGAACTTATAATGATGTTCAAGAACCACGTAGATATTTATATTGCAATTTTGCAACTATGAATACAAGTAGATTAGTTATATATTAGTTATTGTCAAGTATTTTAGTAATAATATATAATGTCTGACAATTGTGTTTACAGTTGAACAACCTGATGAAGACACCACAATAAATTGGATTCTGTACATTATCATTATTGTGGTTGGAATTTTCTTTATAATCCTGGCAGTTGTAGCAATTGTTTACCGGACACAGAAAAGGTAGTGTAAATTTTTAGAATTGTCTAGACCTTTAAAGCCTGTGTAATAAATGGCACATATACCCTCAGAAATGAAATGTTTTATAGAGAGGGCGGTATGAAAAATGCATTTGGATCATATTTGACGATTATCATTAATGAAGCTATTGTTGAATGTGACATAATGTCTCGTAAAAGAAGACAAACGTTAACAAAGTGTTGTTTTGTTTTGTTTTTTTCATTATGGAATACTCAAGTCACATTATTGTATTTTAAAATTTCCCAATGCAAAAAAGAGCAAGAGGGGTCCCAAACCCAATTTGTTTATCCCTTTAAAAAGTTTGGAAACTGGGAACGGGGCACCCGAATAAAAAAAGCTGTTTTTAAAAATTTTTAAAGCAATACAAAAATTTTTGGGGCTCAGAGGCCTTTTATAATAGATGCTTAGACAAAATGTTCCATTGTCTAACAAGTAAATTTCAATTAATCATTGAAAGTGTAATTAAGTGTAAAATATGCAAGTCGATAGATGACATGCCAAATAGCAAGAGTTAATGTGTAACTTAAAGTTTGTAAATCATTTTATTTTATTTGTTGCCTTCTATTTATAGTTCTGTCTCTTCTACTTTATGTTTCCTTCAATTTAAAGTGTTGTCCCTTTCACAATAGTATGCCTTTAAAATTTAGTGTTGTGTCTTGTACAATATGTTGCTATTGATTTGATATTTACGCTTCAATTGATAGCATTGTTTCTGTTTCAATATGGCGTCTTTGATTTAATGATGTAGTTGGTACAATATGTTACCTTTTATTTATAGTTTTGTCTCTTGTACAATATATTGCCTTTTATGTAAAGTGCTGTTTCTGATACAATATGTTGTCTTTTATTTAAAGTGCTGTTTCTGATTCGATATGTTGTCTTTTATTTAAAGTGTTGTTTCTGATACAATATGTTGCCTTTTATTTAAAGTGCTGTTTCTGATTCAATATGTTGTCTTTTATTTAAAGTGCTGTTTCTGATTCAATATGTTGTCTTTTATTTAAAGTGCTGTTTCTGATACAATATGTTGTCTTTTATTTAAAGTGCTGTTTCTGATTCGATATGTTGTCTTTTATTTAAAGTGTTGTTTCTGATACAATATGTTGCCTTTTATTTAAAATTTTGTTTCTGATAGAATATGTTGCCTTTTATTTATAGTGTTTTTCTGATACAATATGTTGTCTTTTATTTAAAGTGTTGTTTTTGATACAAAATGTTGCCTTTTATTTATAGTGTATGTCACTATATGTTGCCTTTGATGAAAATGTTTTCTCTGGTACAATATGTTGCATTTGACTAAATATTTTGCCTTCGATTGAAAGTGTTGTCTTTTCTACTATATGCTATCTTCAATATTGATAGTGTTGCCTCTGATTCAATGTGTTGCCTTTGCTTTATACATTATGATGTTTTCTCTAGTACAATACGTTGCCTTTGATAAATAGTGTTGTCACGTCCTTAATATGCTTCCTTCTATTTCTTGTGTTGTCTCTGGTACAGTATGTTACTTTTTAGCTCACCTGTCACAAAGTGACAGGGTGAGCTTTTGTGATCGCTTTTCGCCCGGCGTCCGTCCGTCCGTCGTCCGTCCGTCGTTCGTCCGTCGTTCGTCCGTAAACTTTTACTTTAAATGACATCTCCTCATAAACCACTAAGCCAATTTCATCCAAACTTCACAGGAATGTTCATTTGGTGGTCACCTTTAAAAATTGTTCAAAGAATTTAATTCCATGCAGAACTCTGGTTGCCATGCCAACCGAAAGAAAAAACTTTAAATATCTTCTTTTAAAAAACCCAAAAAGCTAGAACTTAGATATTTGGCATGAGACATCTTCTAGTGAGTGTCTACCAAGTTTGTTCAAATAAAAGCCCTGGGGTCAAAATTGGCCCCGCCCAGGGGGTCATTGATTTTCCCTATATGCATATAGTAAATACTTAAAAAATCTTCTTTTAAAGAACCAAAAGAGCTAGAGCTAAGATATTTTGCATGAAACATGTTCTAATGGATGTCTACCAAGTTTGTTCAAATAAAAGCCCTGGGGTCAAATTTGGCGCCGCCCCGGGGGTCATTGATTTTCCCTATATGTATATAGTAAAAACTTAAAAAATATTCTTTGAAAAAACCTAAATAGCTAGAGTTTAGATATTAAGCATGAAACATCTTCTAGTGAGTGTCTACAAATTTTGTTCAGATAACAGCCCTTGGGTCAAAATTGGCCCTGCCCCGGGGGTCATTGATTTTCCTTATATGTGTATAGGAAAAACTTAAAAATCTTCTTTGAAAAAACACAAATAGCTAGAGTTTAGATATTAAGCATGAAACATGTTCTAGTAAGTGTCTACAAAGTTTGTTCAAATAAAGCCCTGGGGTCAAAACTGTCCCCGCCCCAGGGGTGTCATTGTTTTTAACTATATGTGTATAGTAAAAACTTAAAAAATCTTCTTATAAAAACCCAATGAGCTACAGCTTAGATGTTTAGCATGAAACATCTTCTTATGGGTGTCTACCAAGTTTGTTCAAATAAAAGCCCTTTGGTTAAAATTGGCCCTGCCGGGGGTGGGGGAGGGCAGATCATTGTTTTTCATTATAAGTGTGTAGTAAAAACTTAACATCATGAAACATATTCTTATGGGTGTCTTCCAAGTTTATTCAAATAAAAGCCCTGGGGTTTAAACTGGCCCCGCTCCGGGGGCCTATATACAGGTGAGCGACCTCAGGGCCATCATGGCCCTCTTGTTATCTATAGTGATGTGTCTGGAATGTGTCTGCCATTGTTTTCTGTTGTTTCTGCTATGATATGTTGCCTTTGTTTAATAGTGATGTCTTATCTTCAATTTGTTGCCTTTCATTCATGGCGCTGTCTCTTGTGCAACATGTTTTTCATTTATAGAAATGTCTCTGGTACAATATGTCGTCTTGGATTTGTAGTGTTGTTTCCGGGACATTATATTGCCTTTGATTTAAAATGCTGCTTCCTCTGCTACAGATGTTACCTTCGATAATTACATAAATATGCTGCATTTGTTTTATATTTTTGCTTTTTTGTATAATATGATGCCATTACAATATTTTTTCTTTGATTAATAGTAGTGTAGATTTTGCTTCAACATGTTGTTTTTATTAATAGTGTTTCCCCTGGTACAATATCTTGTTGGTTTAGTAATGTTGCTTTTGATTAAACGTGTTGTTTCTGGTATAATATCTTTGTTTTTCATACATAATATTGCATGTGCTACAAATATTGCCTTGGATTTAAAGTTTTTTCACTGGTACAATATAATGTCTGTGATATATATTGCTGGGTCTGCTAAAAAAACATCTTGTCTTTGAATGCTCTCTCGGCAAATAATATTTGACATACTTGTTTCAGGGGGAATGGGGTACAACCCAATGTCAACACATCTCGCAACATTGGTAACGAAAATTTAAATTATAGGTTTCAAATGAGGTATGTATTTATATCTTAAAATACTTATTTGTTTGTTTGTTTGCTTGTTTGTATTTATTTATTTACCTACCTACCTACCTCATCCATCCATCCATCCATTCATTCATTCATTCATTCATTCATTCATTCATTCATTCATTCATTCATTCATTTTTTCTTCTTTTTTTTTATTTATTTATTTATTTATTTAAAGTTAATCCATACATAACTTAAAAGTTTCAAATGTCAGCTGAACTTTTATTTTAAGATTTCACATAGTTACAAAAAAAGTGTAAGGCAAGTTTAGTTTTTATATGGAACAACAACAACAAATATATTTTCGTCAATAAAAGAATATATATTTTTTATCTTTATCTAACTTTAGAAGTGTTAAGAAAGCAATCGTAAAGAATGTCATATCTGAAAACAAAATCTATTCTTCAATTCAGAAAGACATATAAAATCAAAGGGCTGCAAGCTCTGTGGTATTTTCTGATCTTTGCAATCTAAATCATACTGACTATCTGCATGTATTTTCCTGTATAAGTTTATTTTTATATACTATAATTCATCTTACGCAGCGACTGCGTTTAGATTTTTTTCTATAACAGTTTGAGATTGATACATATGGAATTTTGCATGACTAGAGTTGCATCAAAAAATCATTTTTCATTTTTTTTTTGACAGCCACACTTTATCCTTGCATATCTTGGCTACTTCCTTAAAAAAGACACTTCAAAAAAAAGTTGCCTCGACTAGGATTTGAACATTATGCCTCTCACACCCTAAACGAGCGCGCTACCTCTGCACCACGGTGAAGTAATACATATGCAGCTTGAATAAAAACAAATAAATTATCATTTTAAATTGAGAATTTCCATTTCGTGTTTGTAATCCTTATTAATTTCGAGGTATTTTGTTCACGATAAACCTGTTGTTTAACACTGATGAAAATAATTTTGCGAAAATCTTCTCGACAAAACAGTCCGGCATCTATATATTCCACTACTCGACAGTCAGATTTATTTGTGTACTACGCTCTGGAGTATTCGGTAATCGACATAGCTAAAAATAGCATTTTCATTGATTAAGCTTTACGGATATAGCCGAACATTTTTCATTGGGTAAAAAAAGATATTCATCCTCGAAATTTGTGATTGTAACCTCATAATTCTATTGACTAATCTAAACTTTTAATGCACTGTAATTTGTTAAATGCCTACATTAAAAAATATTCTTTATTTTAAATTGCTGGTTTTTAAGCAGTTTTGAGTGAGAACTACTTTGCGTTGTTAGGCATGTAAGGAAATTTTGTGTTAGACCGTGGATGTTAGCTTTGTATTTACTGATCTTGCGATCAGAAAATACAAAAGTGGGACAATATTAATTTTTCCTATATTCAACGCATTTGAAATAATTACATTATCATAATTTAAGCTTAGTTTCGTAAAGGATAAACATGAATTTATTTGATCATATGGGAATATTAAAAACAATTGAAAACAAGGCAATATCACTTAATTAATTATATTGTAGGGTAAATTGTTTCCAAGTGTGAATCATTGAATCATTTCTGTAGTGACTTATTAATGTCAAATGGGCGAATTTCCGAAGAGATTGGTCAGAAAAATATTAAAACACACCAAAGGCACCATTTGTTTTTTTTTTGTTCTTTTTTTTTTGGCAATCCGCTTCTTGAAAACTTGTTTAAAAGACGGACAAAACATGACAATTGGTTTCCTTTTTTTTTTTTTTTTGTTGTTTTTTTTTTTCTATTTGTTGTTGTTTTTATTTACTTGCTGGGCGAAGAGTGATAAGTACGAAAAGACAAAAAGATTGACATGTGTTGTGTTTTCGACCTTACACTTTTCGACCCAACAAAACTTCCTCCCTTCCTAAAAGAAATGAAAAAAACGCTCATTTGGCATTTCATAAATATGCTATGCAGTATTTTCCATAGCTAATAATTGTTTCGTTTTAAAGAATATGAGAATTAAAACGAAAAAATATCCTGTTAATGCCTCGAAAAACACATCAGTTGATTAAAATTTGAACACTTCTTTTTTCCGGAAGATATGTGGAACCAGCCCATACTATGTACAGCAGAAGTCACGACAATGCGGATGCTAATTCCTTGGACGATTTGAGGTTCGATTCCACGTAAGTACTCTTAAATTTATGTATGGACTTTAAATATAAGCTCGTCGTGATTTGTTTGATGGCTGGATGCTAGAAAAAAACATATGGATAAGAACCCCAGGTCATATTTAATTGTACTAACATAATGTATGTTTATATATAAAGTTTTATAAAGAAAGCTGATGTAACGTCGTTTCTCAATTTATCACATACTCATGCCGTGTTTGCAACTTAGTAAAAATTGTATTTCACGGCCGTGCATAGCGCTAAATGTAAGTAATAAAAGTGAAACTTTTTTTTTACTGTAAACAATTATTATTTTGACATAAGAAAATAGAATATTATATTCGTGTATTTATAACTTTATTGAACTTGTTGAATAATATGATGTTATTAAACATTTTGAGTATAATACTGAATCTTATAGACCTTTTTACGACGCGGTCCGTTGCTATGAAAAAATGACCGAAAGTGTTTTTTCGCGCATGCGCAATTTGCGTAGGGCAAAAAAAGCCATGCCATACTGTAATATAGAAATGAAGTAGAAATTCATAGACAATTCCGAGTTTGTTTAAGGTAAAAAATAGAAAATCATATAAAATAGCTTTTAACAGAAACACAAAAGATGCCTTCATAGCTTTGTAGCCAAGATTACCCAAAAAAGGCATGGAAAAGACGATTGTTTAAGAATTCCCCCTTACGATCACTGACCTGACATTGTGATTATTGTTGTAAAAATATGTGAAAATATATATTAGCAAATAAAGAAGTCAATTTAATTGTTGTTGAAAACGTCCATGTTAAAAAAAAAAATATTTTTATTACATATAATATATATAACATTTTTCTATAAATTTTATTAACATTTAAAATCGAGCTTAAATATTATTCTGAAAAAAAAGTCGGAACACGTGATATTATGCATTTTTTAGTTTTCAGTTTACCTAATTTTATCCTTTATCAAACTTGACTAAGATGCCATATATAATTTTCTTTAATCACATAATATATTTAGATAATTTTTCAAACTATTGTGTAGTTAAGATGTGTGTTTGAATAGCACACATTTTGTCTGTCCGGTTCCTTGTAACACATGGAAATGCACGTCACGTACACTATTTGTCTCTTCACAAAATCAATAAACATTGATGAGATTGGTATAAATAAAAATTACTCAAATAACGATTAATCATTTTCATAATTTTACGTAGTTAACCATGGTACTAAAACGACCCGGTTGAATGACATTGTTAAGTAGCTGGCAAATAATAACCGGTCACGTGTATATCTGTTTGACACTCACCGCCTTGCCAATCCACTTTCAAAGGAATACCAATTGTGAAATATATGTGATACATGAGTAATAAAATGTGATCTTTAACACCCTGCTGTTTTAATTTAAATTACTGATGAAAAAGTCACCTAATGATACCTTGAACAGAGGACCTTTGGTCGTTAAATTATAAGTCCCGCTTATTTTGTATATCTGTTATAAATATCAATGCACGTTTTAAGTATTTACCGCTTTAATTCATCCCAAAATTTCTTTTTTCTGTGTGACATAACTTGAAATCACGCCTTTTAAAGACTAAAAGTGCGCTAAATGTAAGCTATCGTTATTGCGCTTTTGCACTAAGCAGAATGCGCATGCGCGAAAAGCAACATACTTTGCTATGGAAAAATCGGACTGTAAAAAGGTCTATTGGACAAGAATACAGCTGTCAAAACTATTATGGACGAAGCGCCAGTCGAGTAGTTGTGTATTTGTCAATATAATATGTATTGTTCTGAAATATGTTTAATGATCTCTTTATTTCACACCACCGTTTTTGACATTTTGACAGAACTTTGTTACTTCAATTACAATAACAATTTAATATTAATTCTGGATTCTCAAAATGAAAACGGGGCCAGATTATGTACGATATGCATGTAATAAAGTTATTTTGGACTTGAAGTCTGGAAATTAAAACGAGACTTTATAGGGTGTGATATGGATTTTATATGGACATTTTGGACTCTGGAAAATAGAACGTAGATGCGTCATACAATGTCAGATATTACGTCAGTTAAACAATTGATGTCTAGTGAAGACTTTTCTGCATATTAAAAGGATTGATATATGTCTATTGTTGGCCGTTAAGTATTTGTTTTTGTGCTATGTCTCGGTTAAGGCCTATTTTTATTCCGGTATATTTTAGATCAAGTTAGACTCACTTTATTGATAATGAGTTTTACCAATTTTGGTTGGTCAAAATGTACAATATTATATATATCAGAGCAATCTGATTAAATTCAGGTCCTAAATATCTCTACATGTAAGAAATAAGTAGATCGGAAGTTAAGTCAGATTGATAAATAGAGGGTCTGTCAATCCGGGTCACTTTAGCATTTTTGATTTTTAAGTCGACGAATGGAAACTTGCAGAATTCATCAGCTATCTAGTGATTAGACCGGAAATAACGTTTATTTTATAATTTCGTTTTCTCTCTAATAAATTATGCTATTTCAGAACTTTCGACGGAGAACTAAATGCCGCGGTTGAGTATACGGATGACTTTCAAGGTGCTTATAATAAGTAAGTTTACATATAAATTGTTTTATATAAAAAATAGCTTCATATAGTCATTTAAAATTCATAGAATTTAGTAAGAATAGAATGTTAGTGTTAATTCACCAAGTGGTCATTTCATAGTCGTAGCATTATGACAGGGATCACATAGGAGGAAAAACACTAAAAGTGTTTTGAATATTGTAATACTGTTTTCCATTGGCATTATTATCAAATATTCATAAAGAGGTAAAACAACAACAAATTTTGCATTACTGAAATACTAGTATACATGCACAAGTGTGAATGAATCAGGTAAAATGAAACACATCAACATCAATAGTATTAATATTTGCTTCTTACTATAATGTAAAATGAGATGGGCATAAAATATACACTAACCACCTGTTAGATTTCCTTGCACCAGTAAGATAATAAATATTTTATAAATGTGTTACGAACTCGTCACCATAAAATCATCTTCGGTAAACATGCGTACTCGTTACTTATACGCTTCATCGTCGAAACCCATGGGTTCTGATTTTAGTTATACCGCTGAACTATGACGTGTACGCATGCGTTACCGAGGATGTAGTTCAGGGAAATCAGAACTCGTGAGTTCCAGCATAAAATGTCCTCACCTGACTTGAGTAAATCCTGGGGCTCCAATTGAAAGCTATACTTGTATACCAATAGCCCTTAACAAGTTTAATTCACTTTGAAATTGTGTATCTATATATTGTGACGTCAATGTTATGATTTGTTTTCAGTGAACAAAATTCAGAACTATAGCCAAGGTAACTTGTAAGGTTCACCAAATTCTTATTCCTCTTCCAAAAAAAACCCTATAAAATCAGTGTTTGATAAACTATGAAAAAAGAAATATATAATTATTACACTTGCCAGTTTAATCACCAAGCAAATCTGTTTATATGTTATGGCTATTTATACTTGCAAGTCAATTTAACCTTGCCAACCTTTGCTTCTAAAATACTGTTTTCATAAGGACTATACAATAGTTGCTTATTGTATTCAATCAGGGTTAGTTAAACTGATAAATTTTAATTTTGGAAGAACTTGATTGGGCTACCCCGTGTACCTTTTTCTGCACCTTTTCTGCACCTTTTTCTGCACTTTTTATATCTCCAAAATTCAATAAGTCAAAATTGTAATGCTACTCTCATATCTACATATATGAGGAAAACTTTGTATTATGCAGCAATAAATAAATATGGCTGCGTCCTTGGAGAGACGAACACATTTTCAACGCGCCTTGTTAAAGGTTCAAAACACCATCTGAATAAGTACTGCTAGATTAATTTTAAAAAGCTAATGTATAAACAATATTTTTACACGAAACAGCCACTTTTTACTCTATATATTTATTTGATTCACTGACTGGCTGGAGCCGAGCATTTCGAATAGCATTTGTGTATAATTTACTCTGCAAAAGTTTAATGAAATTTGCCTTAAATTTTACCATAGTATCTCCGAAAAATAGTTTCCTTTATGTATGTACTTACGCCGCCCGACATTTAGCATGGAAGCATCAACATTTCACTCCAATTTATTTGATTTGCTGTTCGGTTTGACCACTAGATTATAAACCCCGCAATAGCCCAATTCAGTAGGACATTTGTAAATATTAGAAAAGGTTTGCAAATTTTTCACTCTCTTTACTCACTATATATATCTTTGGATAGGCATATTGTCACTTACAGAATAACCGTATTTTCTAAAGGTCTCATAGTAACGTCGAGCAGCATTGTTTTTAAACTTTAAACTCGATGATTAATTTCCACATTAAGTATTATAATTTCAAATAAGAATGAAATCACGATTTTCACATGACTTAAAAATTAACGTAACGGTTTCTGTTGTTGTTTAAATACTGTATTACAGTACTAACCACACGACTCTATGGTATCATTTCACTTACAGTTTGTAATTGATCCTGATTGGATCATTATATTGTATGAACACAAACATTATATGATCATGTGTTTATAAAATTTAAAACTTAGAATTACTGTTAGGCACAGTCTTTCAAAATTTTCATTCCAAATTTCAGCATATTTGACCATAGACTATTTAGCTTTTTTTTGTAAAAGCAAAAAAAACCCACTTTCATTATGGATGGTCTGTCATACAATAAATAATTATGTTGATAATATTTAGTATCACACGTGATCACAAACCATGAAATAATTTGAATGTATGATTTTGTTACATGCCTTTATATAGCTGTTAATACAATTCATTTAACTGTCCATTCTGAACCACTTATGATTCAATCATCAATTTTCTTATAAGAATATCCTAATGATATTTTTCTATTGTTTTTTTTAACATTTTTTATGGAAAATATTTCTTTTGTAGATTAATTTACTCTATCATTTATTTATTTTTGTTCTGTCAACAGTCCAATTTACAAAGATGCAAATGATGATCAGGTGGCGAATACAAATGCGAGCGTTGCTTATATTACTTTAGATAACAATTTAGATAAACCACCGTTATCACCACCACCAGTATACAAGGCATGGGAATAAAATCGATATCCGATAAACGTTTGACAAAGTACTCACTTTTATGCGAGTGCCTACATGATTGTACCGGAAGTGCTAGAAGTCAATTTATATATCAATACACCAATTTTGAATGCATAGAAGACATTTAGTGATATTTTGATAAATCTGTGATATTTAAATTTGTGTTGTTAATGTAAAATTTTATTTTGTTATTTTATATATTCTAGACAAACATGAAACTTATTTATTACTAGTACATACATGTACATATTTTATCATAAATAGCAGTATATACATTAAATGTTATCGTTTTAACACAAATAAATTGCCTGTTTACTAATGTTAATTATCATATGTTTTAAATATGTATTTATATATTGTATATTGTTATATTTTTTGTTGGTATCTTAACAATATTACATGTACTAACATACTTGAAAAGTAAGTTAAACTACAAGCAGACAAATAGTTCCCTGGTTAATAAATTTATACAATGTATATTTTACTTCTAATGTTATATTATAACATATTGGATTTTTGTGAACCAAGCTTAATATTTGAATATTTAAAGGCTGCGCATTAATTATTTGTTAAAAACATGCATGTAATCTTCTAAAATTATTTACAATTTGTATTTGTCTATAAATTGTTCACTGAAAGTTAGCTATACGAAGTTTTTTGAGATCACATTCAATTCAGTGTCGTCGTTCGTTAAAGATTATTTTGCTTTAACTATAATGTCTTTCTAACGTAACGAATGTACTTCAAACATAAAAGTGTGCCTCTTATCATCACAAACATCAAATACTAGAATTTAGCCATTGAAAATTATTACTATTTTGCACATTTTATAAGAGTACTTTTTTTAATTTTAAGAGTTATCTACCCCTTGAATATAGTATATCATACAAAATTGTTATTATTTTACACTAATATACATGTGTACTTTTATGATTTCAAGAGATATCTACCCCTTGAAGGTGGTATTTCATACAAAATTGTTATTATTTTACACAAATATACATGTGTACTTTTATGATTTCAAGAGATATCTACCCCATGAAGGTGGTATTTCATACAAAATTGTTATTATTTTACACAAATATACATGTGTACTTTTATGATTTCCAGAGTTATCTACCCCTTGAAGATAGTATATCATACAAAAGTGTTATTATTTTACACAAGTATACATGTACTTTTATAACTTCAAGAGATATCTTACCTTTGAAGATAGTATTCACTAGAAAATTGTTACTTTTTTACACAAATCTAACATGTACTTTATGATTTCAAGAGTTATCTATCCTTTGAAGATAGTATTCACTAGCAAATTGTTACTATTTTACACATATCTGCATGTACTTTTATAATTTCAAGAGTTATCTATCTATTTGAAGAAAATGTTACATACAAATGTGTTACAAACATACATGTGTATTTAAAAATTTTAAACAATTAATTATACTTATTTTTGTCAAAATTTCACCTAATAAGGGTCATAAATCTAGCATCTGTATTTCAGGAATTATGCCTTTAGAATCTGTTGTGTCTAAAATGATTATATTTGATAAAAAAAATTCTTATTATTTAGGTAATTCATTAAACATTTTATTAAATAGTTTAACTTCGAATCACTTGTATCACATATGACAAGGTTTGTAACTCTGGCATCAATATTTTAATGCTTATTCTTGTCAAGTTTTTATAACTTTTAACATAACATAGTTGGGATTGTCTTCTCACACATCACATATGTCATAGTCTGTTTCATGAAACAATCCCTCTAAACTTTCTTGTTGTGTATTATTTTTAACACAACCTTTGGTTTTCAATTAAAAAAATTCAGTCAATGTTTAATCAACATATATTTATGCGCTAAAGTGGACAACTCAATTTTTATTTTCTGATATTAATTACATATTTCTTATATTTAACCATATTTCTAATTTGGTTAAGTCATCCAGAATTATAATAGTTGAGTGTGTCTTCTCCGGTACTTTCAGTGAATTTTGATGCATGTTTGATGTCTTTAACGCATTTGAAGAAGGCATTTTTATTGAAATTTTACCATGTGACGGATTGAGAGCAATCGTATGTACATGTTTTTTATTGTTTATGTTTATTAAAACAAAACAATCCAACGTGTTCGTTTCGTTTTGTTTTGTTTTTCTGCCTTTATAGTATTTTTAAAGGTGCTCCAATGAGTTACAATAAAAGCAAATAAGAAAATGAAATAAAATGTTTACACAAATCAACTGGGGCACTCTAAACAGAAAATAGGCAAAATATATATATAAAAAAAAGAAATACGCCCAGAAAACAATTTACGAAACATGCAGAAGGAAGGTTATATTCCCTGTTGAAGTATTTTTTTAACCTTTGGCCGACCTTTAGGTATGACCTTGACTTTAAAATAAACATCCTGTTTTTTGCGCAGTGTGCATCATCTCATTATGACAATCATTTGTTCAAAGTACTTTTAGTGCCTTTGCGAAAGAAAGCTCGACGCCATTTTTATCCATCGCTTTTGCTCCTTCGTCGACAGCTATGACCAATGTGAAGTTTCCTTTTTAAAATTAAACCGAATCTGAAATGTTCAACTATCTGCGTTTTATTTGACACGATCGTACACAATTATACACTGGTAGAGTGACAAAACAATCTCATGAAAAGGTAAACTCATTTATTGTTACCGGAAATGAGTTAAAAAGCTCTATTTTACACCATATCCAATTTTATATCCTCCGGTGCACATAAGTTCTGCACCAGTTGTGAAAGTGGCGTCTGTTGATAAAAACAGACATGCCAAACCTATTTCACGTGGCTCTCCAAATCGTCCAGGGTGCTAAATATAAATGAAATGAAAATAACCAATTACAATTCAAATTCAATTTCAATAATACCTTTAGCAAACTGAAAAGTTATGATATAAAAAAACATACTTAACTTTAACCACTGAAATTCAGACAGTTTTAATTTTCAAGGCAAACCCTAATGAATTAAACTTTACTTGTAAAAGTTAATAAAGCATTAGGACTAACATCAATTATTTTTTAAGTGAAAACAATCTATTTGGATCGTATCGACTTATAGGAAGTTTAAGGACCAACAGCCACCTTACTTTTCCTTGTCTGACACCATGGCACGTTGACAAGGTGACAAGCGTTCAATTTAATTAGTGCGTAGTAACCAAGGAGTACAAAACTGAATTATTTTGATTAAAGGAAGCAAATGATAACACAATATGTAGTAAGTTTCAACTTCGTTTGTTCAAAAGTGTCTTTCTTTAATTAGATTTTACACACCGACACAATAATAGTCCTATGGTGACCTACTGCTCGCAGAAGACCTGTACTTTTTTGCATTCAATATTTTAGACTTCAAGCGAGCACCTTGGTTTACCACCAACCTTCCGCAAATTAACTAGATAGGTTTCTCACATAATAGATTCTGACAGGACATTTATCACTCCGCTACTGCATGACTCTTACTAATTAATATGTTACATACCGACCGATTTTTCACTAATTCCCCCTTTTCTCCTTCTTGATCTAAAAAACACTGTATTCTGTTTTTAAACAAGTTATTTATCTATTGTTAAATATGAACATTCACAAAATATGATATATGTGACAAATATGAAATTCAAAAATATTTATTCATAATTGCTATCGTTATTATCTTGAGTATTGTAAATATATTGTTTAACTTTTTATTGACTGTTTAAATCTGATAATGTCATTTATGCATAGTTATTTCTTTGCTGGACTAGGTTACTTCACTTTTGGTACAAAGAGACATTTTCTGTGAAGTTCATTCAATATAATACATATTAGTAAATTAACTATTTGAAATAAGAAAATAGTTGTTGTTGGAAAGCTTGCAATGAAAGTATAACATATACGATATATTTCATAAATCTTTACGAGCAAAATTTTACAATCTTATAAACTAGGTCCCGAAATATATTGACTTACTCAAGTGTGTTTATTCCGCACGTGGCTGAGACATTTGAAGAATGACATCGCAGAGTACACAGATAACATCCACAATGCAACGTTTGTTCATGAGTACAAGGGAAATAATCTTTGTTCAATTATTGCGTCATTTCATCTCTTGATACAATTATATCTTCATAAATTTTGCCAATATACTTATTCATTTCTCATTTCTTAAATCCGTCATTTGCTTGCAATATTTAATGAAATTGTGCAAGGGAAGAACTTTTACAAATGTGAATTGCAACCCATTTTTTTCAATTGCTGGCGGTTGAAGACTTTTTGACACACTTACATGGACGACGAACAAATGGTTTTAGTATTTTCAGAAAAATGTTTGACTAATAGTAATTTTTATATAGCAAAACATTACCAATTAACATGTATGATTGTTTTTTAAACAGTTGAACAATCATTGATCGGACAATTATGTATTTTTTTACACAACTACCTCAAATTATGTGAACATTTTTGTAATTTTGAGCGATTGGTCCCATTTCTACCTTCATTTTCTTTGATGCAAAAGCAGTTTGCCAAAATCAAACCAGTTTTATTTTGCTGATGTACATTGCCTGGAACAGCTTCAATCGATCACAGAGTTTAAAAATTGTCATAATGTTTAGATAAAAGTATAAATACTTACCTTTTTATTATAATAATTTTAACTGTCCTTGACCTTCGAACCGGGCATTATCATCTGATGCTCTTCATATATATATCGTCAATATAGTAGTAATAAATCGTATTGATGTGTTCAAGTCTTAGGGATAACAACTAAGTAAGCTGATATTTTAAGTGTTACGCACCAACACAGTAGATGGGGACTTTCAAGCTTAAGTCATGTAAGTTGTGGAGTAGTTCTCCTCCTTGTCTTATTTTTGACACGGGCAGACACCACCTGAATAGAACCATTGGCATTCCGTAAACTAGCTGTATAAAAGCAAGCGAATCAACAAGAGTGTTTAAAAGTCTTGCAAAGAGCGGCGTTATTGCTAGGATGAAATAATCTGTAATATCTTTGTGAATGAACTATTAAGCTCATAGACGACAATAACGAAAGACCCTGAGACTCAAAATATTTTCTTAGTACCTTATAAATTGGACCAGAAATACAAGCATTGATCCACAGAATAATATCGTTGAAAAGCTTTGTCATTGTCTTCCTACAAGTATCGGAATACACGCCTCCTAGCAAAATTCGCTGTTAAGCTCTCCGGTTCAATGTAATATTTCGCGTTCATCTCATATTCTGCCGCTGACGAATTTTTGTGCCGATATTTTTTTCCACAGATCTTCAGTCTCGTCATCATATATGACTGTTATGTTTTGTCCTTGTCTGAGTCGTTTCCTTGGTCGTTACAATTACATACATATCCGAATCACCTATGGTATCATACTCATTTTTATCCGTGTCCGTGGTTTTGTATGTCTCAACATGTTCCTGTTGTGTGATTGTTAAACATGAACATGTTTGCGTATTTTCTGGGAATGAGCAGGTTTTGTTTTTTTATTCGTTTCGCTACATTTAAGTGACGAATTTTCCCTCACATTCCTTTCGTAGGAGACACATAGAAGATCCTCTTCGCGCCACCAAAAGGCCAGAAATCGCGTGCGCTTCTTGTCAGATTCACCGCTGATTAAGCAACAGCTAGCAAGGCATTCTTTAACAAAGACTACGTTTAAGGTGAATTTGAAAATTAAACTTTAAATGGATTCCCCCTCTTTCCCAGTTCATCAATTATTGGGACTGCTGATTTCACCTCAATGTATGTGTTTGCCGAGGGGATTCCATGGTTAAGTTTGTCGTCTTCAAATCACTTGTACCTAAACACTGACGGACACATTTAATGTACTTTTAGTTTTGTGTATATTGGCTTTTTATATATTACTTTGTCACATGTGTGAAATCCACACATCTTTCAATACTAAGAGACAAGTAAACAAGTGTGTAGGTGTATGACGCTTGTTTAAAATGTACAGCTTCCAATAAAATATTAAACAAAGCATTCGATGAACGAATCCTCTTGACGTTTCATTATGTGACATTTTTTTCAATGTAGGAGGCAGCGCGAATTCATTAAACTGTTATTCACTCGCATGTGTTGATCGCAAAACCATACCCGTTAAATTAAAGACAATAAATGAACTTATAATTTGAAAATTGTTAACTTACTTGTAAGTTACACTTGTAAATAATTAGTAAGGTTTCGCTTTTAAATATGAAAAACAGACTTAAATAAACCATACATCGTATCGGAGTTAATCTAAAACAATAAGTGTTTGGTTCCGTCTGATGATTTTTTCCAGCTAATTTAATTCTTTTAATCTAAAAGGAAACCCCAAACAAATATGAAACAAAAACAGTTTTCGTTTTGGAATTTTGTTTGGTTGAACATTTCGAAAGAAAAGTCCAAGTGACGTGTCACTTCCTCTGTGACTTTTTTATCTTACAAAATCTGTGCATGAAAAGAAGTACAGTTATAACAAAAAGAAGGCATTCATTTTTATCAATAAAATAAAGGATTTAATTACCGTAGTAGATTGAACAATCAAAATGCACGGAACAACTGCACAGGTGAAATGAAATATTCCATTCCACCTGAATTTGTGAACATCCTGACCGAGAAAGAACACGCCTACCTACATTACTAAAACTAAACGTCCGGCAATCGTGTTTGGTTCTTTAGTTCGGTCGTCTCGGGTGTTTTTGTTTTTTTAATTGTGTACAAGAGAACCTTACCCTGAAGCATTTGAAGTTTTGCTTTTCGAATTTGAAGTATTTTAGTAATATTTAAGCTTGTGTTGAACACCTGCTCGTGGACTTGTATAAAATAAAAAAGCATATCTAAGTGTATAGAAAAACAAATTTTTCAGAAGACGAGCTTTTGTAGAATGCATTTAATGTCTTATTAATGTAAACGAAGCAAAAGAATATGGAATTAACGAGAAGTAGCATGAAGCTATATATCTACAACTGAAAATTACAAATTTAAAGTTTACAATATACATTCAAGTATTACAGAAATATTTTTGTTTTGGCGCCTACACTAAATTACTGCCGAAAGGTATAACATCACTTCAAATACCAACCTAATATTTGTTCCGGAATATTTTGTTATGGTAACGTACAATATCCATGTGTGTTAA